AAATATTGATTAGAACAAAAGTTATTTCATTTGTCAGAATGTCAGATCTCTGTGGGACACCCTGTATATTTGGACTAGATTCAAAAAATTTATTTGACTTTACAAAAGACTTTATTTTTACAAAAAAAAAATCAAATTTTAACTACGTTTATATAGCTGCAATTTTTTTCGTGTGGGAACTTCTACATGCACCCGCTTACCTACTATGTTTCGTGTGGAAACTTACTAAACCCCAAACCTACAATACCCTTCCCACACCCAATGGCTTATGTACGTTATGTTGTCACGGGTTAATTAATAATAATAATAAWAAAAAAAACTWCTATAACCTAACTTCTAACTATGTAAATTATTGAACGTCGTTATTTCGCTACTCAATCGATTGTTATATTATGATATGAACACAATTTGAAAAAACGTGCAACTCACGCCTTGAATAGCAATAAAGCAGATGCGTATTGCGAATGCCCACTACGTTGTTGCAGCATAAGTCCACGTCCATCTTGCTGACACCGTCGTCGATCCACCGGAACCTGAGTATGGGCACCTTGGCGTAGACGATGCGCATTTCCGCGGTGATGATCTTGTCGTTGACCCGCTCTTTTTTCAGCAATCCCATCAGCCACTGGAGTCGCTCGACGGCGCATATCCGGTGTTCTTCCTCTTCGGTCACAGCTTTGTGCTGCCGGACGCCGGTGYTCATCACAGCGGCCGCCGTGCAACCGGTGAGCAGACAGAAGTCCGCGTCACTCACGTCGCCGCCGAAACCGTTCATCGTGGACCCGACCAGGTATACGCCGCAGCCTGGCGCCCAGCTCTTGATCATCGTTGACAGCCAGCGCCACATGGCCATCTTCGTTTCGTAAACGCCCTCGGACTGACGGTTGTCCAAGTACATGTGCCAGACTTCCGAYGACAGCTGAAATGCGTCACACGACAATGGTGATGATAATAACATAACATTATGGCGATGTATAAATATATTATTATATTATTATTAGCAGAGCTTTCAATGGCATATATAATTAATATGCTATACATGATACTCGGTAAAAAATAACAAGAAAAAAAGAACAATTTTTTAAAACTAAAAATAATATTATATTATCACAAAAAAAATTATTTATATAAATTTGATATCCAATCACATTTCATCTAGGTATTCTGTGATCCATGAACTATGATATATCTTAGTTCATGCTCTGATCTAATTATTATTATTTATCACCGGTAACACAGCAAGCCTGTAAAGCTGATAAGTCAAATTGCTTATTAAATATTTAAATATTGTCATATTGACTAATCAATAATTTTTCATTAATCATTAATTTAAAAAAAAACATAGTATCACAGTGTAGTAACTAGTAACGCTAGTTATGTTATACTAATAACCTAATATAACCTAAACTTGTGAATTATGATTTCTGAATAATTTTTTTTTAACGGGTCACAATTTTACCGCCACCACCAAGACAAAAGAATTTTACTGGGCACCGGTTAATATGAGCATCCATTTATCGTAGGCAAACATGTCTGGTTCCAATACAWATGTATATAAACAATATTAAATAACYGCAAAAAATATGGGCAATATATTGATATTAATATCGATTCGGTTTATGTGGGAAATTTTATTTTATCATATCGTTAGAATACACAGTCATATTTATTTAAAAACTACTAATTTAATGGGGCTTTGTCGTATCTATGAGATTGTGTTTATCGAAAAGTTTAACTGCACGCAATGCATACAGTTTATATCAGAAAGTTGGCGAAAAGTTAGCTGCACAACTGTTATGAATTGTTTCGCTCATTATGGATTTTCTAATTTTATTAGTCTACAACCTGAGTTKACTGGACAATTTTTACTTATTCAAAACCATAACGAATTTGAAAACATTGATGAAAATGCTCTTTTTTTTGATAATAATGTAGACATTTGTTATATTGACGATGTTGTAGTACAAAATTTTTAAAAAAAAAAAGGAAATGTGATGATGAAGAAGATACTGAATCACCAGTTACAGCTAGAGAGGCTAAAATTGTATTGATTTGTTGCAGAAGTTCTTCATGCAAGAGGGTAACGAAAATAGCCCGCCTGATAARCTTGAAGCGTGTGCCTATTTGTCAATCAGATCCATATACTAAACAGCTTAGACAGCGAATAATTACAACGTTTTGTAACTTTTCACGTCCAAATAT